TAATCCCATTTGAAGCTCTATACATTTTTACACCATGAAACACACACACACGCTGTTGAATACAAACAAGAACTAGGAGGACACCCCCAAAATGACCTAGTACTTCTCCTTCCTTCCCAGGGGAGCTTTCATTCTGTGGTCCCCAAAAAGATTTTTTTTTAAGATTTTATTTATTTATTTGAGAGAGAGCTCCCGTGCATGAATGGGGGTGGGAGTGGAGAGAAAAGCAGACTCCCCACTGAGCAGGGATCCCAAAGCAGGGCTCTATCCCAGGACCTGAAGACCATGATCCAAGCTGAAGTCAGGTGCATAACTGACTGAGCCACCCAGGTGCCCCCACCCCCAGAAGGATTTTTAAACATCAACACTATCTACCTAAGGAGGGGCGGTAGGAATATCTGATGACATGACCTCACCTCCGAGACCAGTGAGAGGATACTGAGAAGGAAACACAGGTTGGTATCAGGGCCCTGAGGGCAGCAGTGGAGGCCCAGGCACACCCCATCCAGCGGCACACAGAACTCCAGTTACGTCATTCCTCACGCACAGGGTCGCAGCGAGGGTCCAGTGAGATTCTATCGGCAGAAGCGCTTCCAGAGCTGGAAGGCACTTGGCATTATGACCTGATCTGCTTGTGACAATGCCACACAGAACTGGTCCTGCAATCAGGAGCACACACTGTGCTGCGGTCAGAACAGGCTGCAGGGTGTCCTTTCTTAGGATTGGTGAACCCATCTGGGAGGCGATGTTGCTCTATTTTGATCTCTCCCCCCTCCCCATTTCAATAATTCAAGGAATTGGGAGTGACAGACATCCATAGCACAAGGTGGTGATGATAGGAGCTCTGACCCGAAAGGAAAACATATACACACCCCAGCTAGCTGCTCTTCCTACTGGTCATACCAGAATCTAGCCTTGCAAAGGCAGTTCCTTGCCTGCACATCCACACAGGGAAACAAAGTTGAAAGCCCGTTGCTTTTGCTCTCCTTATGGCTCTGGCTTGACTGGAGGATGAGAGATCTAGACCACAACAAATCCATAGTCCAAACCCAGTTTCCCATAAAACCACAAATCCTGTCTTGAGGTTCTAGCCATGTCACTTCAACAGGATTCTTGATTTCTCCTCCTCAGTTACCAACGTACTCTCATAAATATAGCCCAAGAAGATGTGGTTCCCTGAACTTGGTTTTGTGTGTTAGTGGTTTGTCTGCAGCTTTTCCTATCTTCCCCAGCATTAATCACCTCATTGCAAGGCTGTCTTGGCTCCATATGTGTGACTCATAATTGACGCTTACATAAAATCTGGGCCAATATTAGTACTATTTCTGTCCGTTTGTTCCGATTTGGTATTCCACGTTATGCCCCCAAAACTTAGTTTAATACTGTAGAGAGTCACCTCTGTCTCCTTGTACCCACAAAGCCCAACCTCACAATTCAGACTTAACAGGCAACAGAAGGCTGACTAGATGGAGGACTACACAGTGAAAGGCTGTATGTAACACAAGGAAGCACCCACGGGCCCTC